AGAATGTTTTAAATTCCTTCTAGTATTTTTTCCTCAAAAAGGACTAGAGAAGAGACTGTAGAGTGTGGTTTTCTGCTAGAAGCTCAATAGTTACCCATGGGATGGTGTAAGCTGCTCATACGAGTGGGATGATGTGATTTTGCTGTGACATATAAGATTGAGGACCAAAGGCAGGCTTGTTCAGTATAACTTAAAAGGTGCTGAATCTAAGGCATGGGCTCTAACTACCATAGTGAATTCTATAAGCAGAGCTATATGATGAAACCACATTCCAAGCAGGCTAAAGCCAATGTGGAAAAGCAGTTCTGTTCCAAGGAAAGAAGAATTCACAGGGCCACAGGTAGCTGAGATGGTCAAAGACAGACCGACGGTCAGATTCCAGGGGCAGGAGAAGCAGAGAAGTCGATGCAATGAGCTGTCCAGATTGAACAACTGGCTTGAATATGATGGACTTGGCCTGGCCTGTGGGGTCAGTTCATACAAAAAAGGCAGCCTAGCGGCACCCTTGATCTGCAGAACCTACATGGTTAGCTGAGGAACCACTGGTGGTGCGGAAGGCAAGGTGCCAAAAACTGACAGCTGGAATCCTTAGTTTGAAACTGTACAAAGTTATTGCAAGTATACAAAAAGGTGTGGTGGTAACTTCCATATACGGCATCCTGAGCTCCTGAACAAAGAACAGGATATAAATGTGAGAAATGAGTAATTCACAATTGGAGTTCTAACCTTGCTCCTAAAGAGTATATTCTGTTGTTTGCTGGACTGGCAAGGAAACTCTCAATGGGGGAAAAAACAACTGTAATAGGTTTCTTAGAGATGTCACCTTCCAAATTCTTGTAATTCTCTGAAATGAGGCACAATGCCAGCTTATTACTCTAGCAAGAAAATAGACCATGGTTTAAAAATAAGCAGCTCCCTGGGTTAAATATGCCCCAGCCACCACCAGTTCTGCCACTTTCCCCCATTTCACACAACTGCACAGAAAGTGTGATCTTGAATGTTGAGGTTGTGGCTGCTGGAGATTCATTCTTGTCAATGCTGAGAAGAGATGTAAAGAGCGAGGTTATAATTACAGAAATACCCACCCAGGCAGAGATGCTGCCAGAGATGGATGTGATGGCCACCTAAGTGTTAGCCCTGTGGATGCTGCATACCTGTTGATAACACTAAAAATCAGAACTGCTCTGAGAAAAACATTTCAAAATTGATAGGCCTATCATAATTGATGACTTGGTTTCAATCTGAACCAGACACCAAAGAAAACATAGAAGAGGTAACAGGTTAACAAACCATAGGGAAACAATATAGGGAAACAGAGACCTTCAAAGAATCCATACTCTATAATGTGCATGTTTATTTCATGGCAAGTCGTAGTGATTTCAGTGGGACTTACGTGTACTCCTAAGCAATGCACATCTATTCACAAATGATGCAACATTAGTCCAGTTTGCATTATTTTTCAGGATGGTAAAACTGCAAGCAAATTTTGGAAAAACTCCTGAAAGGGCAATTGTGCAGCAGAATTATAGATAAGATCCACTGTGCAAAGTGACACATTAGAGAAAAGAAATCCCAAACTGCATTTACAAGGAACATTGTTTAAATTGGTGGCAACCAACTAAAATAGGGGTCACAGAAGAAATGTTAAGATTCATGTGGAAATAGGGCTGATCTGAATTTAGATGCTTTTAAAAAGGATTCATTCTACTGAGCTGCTGTTCACTGTGATAGAATGTCAGACGGTGATTGTGCATTCTTGCATGGCAATATTTCTTGCCAACTGCTTCATGGCAAGAGAGAAGGTAGAAGCAACTGCAGTTTCTGCTAGAGAAGCATTGCTGTGTGCGCCAAAAAAAGATTTTGTTACCTTTCTGTCTGTAGTTCAACAGAGTGCATTGTCAGGCATATGTTTTTGCCAAGATAATGTTTTAAGAGAAAGTAGGGGTACAGGAAGGATCAAAACTAGTTGGCCCTTGCTCAGCCACTGCTCCCAGCCCCCTTCTCAATTTCTTCTCCTCTTCCTCCTCACTTGAAGACAGAGGTATTGGAATGATAATATCTGAGTTTCCCTATCTAGTAATAACTGTGCATGACCATAACTTATGGTTTTCTTCCCACACTTAAAATGCCCTTGTGAGTAAAAGATAAAGCTATTTCTACAGCACTGTCTGAGAATCTGGTTATCATTGCTGGCCAGTTCTGTGGTTCTCTCTAGCAGATCACACCAAAATCAAAATTTTAGCTTCATTGGTAGTTCTGTTATTGTTAACATGCATTTGCTTTTCTGTGTACTTTCTTTTAAAATGTATTACATGTCTGTTCTAAGCCCTTAACATGAGAAGAAAATGGGCAAAAGCATTCAAAGGCTGATTTGAGGCTTGAGGGCTCTGAGTAATTCCTAAATCAGTTTATAGAGATGAGCTGACTTCAGAACAAAGGAGCCATGCATTACCTGGACTGGTCTGGAATACCTCTAAGCTAAAGTTTAGGACAAGATCTTTTATGAAGTCAGTGGTAACAGCTTTGTCATATCCTCACCATCAACCCTGCCTATGTGAGCTGGAGAAAGGATTACAAAAAGCATTTATTTATTAATAAATTATTTATTAATGCTTTAATCTGCACAGTTGCAAGGGTTTTCTGGGTGGATCACGTAAAACTTAAAATAACGAAATGCAAAACAAAAAACAAACACACATGCTGGGGAAAATTTAGGCACAAAACAAGTTTCCTTAAGAAAGGAATTTCATAAACGAGGTGCCTCAACTAGAAATCTCTCCCTCTTCTGGTCATCTGCCTAACTTCTTCAACAGGGACATTTCAAGGGCCTCCACAGATGATCTAAGATATTATCAGGTTCAAGAATGTATCATCTGCCTTACACTAAGGCCTTTGCGCTTCCATAAGCTGTAACCTGTGGACCAGTTCAGTGGCAGGCAACAGTGCATCCAACACCCACTGCCTGGTCCGAGTACATGATGCAGTTCAAGGGCACCTTTCTACTAGTTGTTTGCAAGAATCTGTGCATTGCACTGAATCTGGCTTCACAAAGTCAATTACCAAATTTAAAATACATTAAATTTGTTCAATCTTACACCTGCCTGTCAGAAAAAAATTCCCACAACTCCCAGCATGGTTGGCTAAGGGATACTGCAACTTTTTTATGTTTAAACATGTGTACAATTGCAACCTAAGTTATCCTAGGAAGAAAGCTTCATGTTCCAACGCCTTGTACCTTCTAAGTATAACAGGAAGAGGCCGGCTCCTGCAAACTCCAAGGCTTCCCGAAAGGACCTGGTTGGCCACTGATGCTAACAGGATACTGGGCTGCAGCGAGGGTCCAGCAGGATGCTTGCAATCCTGGTGGAAAGGTCTCTTGGAATTGAACTGCGGTTCAGAAAGAGCACATATCTGAAGAACAGATGCTGGGGACCAACACCATGAACGGACTGTCGCTTTTCTGCCCTGTCTCACAGCAGCTGGAAGCGCCAGGTTAGGCACTGCAGGAAAATGGATTCTGCGCTTGGAAAGGCCTTGGGGCTCATCCAGCAACGTTTTAATTCTCGTATAAAGAACTGGACCGTAGTGTCGAGCAGCTGCTGTTCAGAGGCAGTGCCGCTTCAACGGAAGGGGCTGGGGCAAGCCACGGGGCAAGCCTACCAGTCCCACAGCTTCGGCCAGCATCTGCTCGCCACCCCCGGGAAGGAGAGCACTTCGGCCTCCGCCTCCTGGAGTAAGGACGAAGTCGCCACGGCTCGGGGGAAGCCGTGGCCGGGACCTACAGCCTACCTCGAGAGAGACAGCCGCACACGCACAAGCCGCACGCCTCCTCCCCGGCCCCACGGGCGCTGCAAACGAGGCAAGAAAGGGGCGAGCTGAAGGCTCACCACCGCTCCCGCCCATTATGGCACGGCGAGCCCCTCCTGTAAAAATCGGCGTGATAGGCAAGATTTTAGGGCCGGAGAAGAAGCGGATTGGTGCATGCGGGCCGCCTTAGCATCACGGTCCAATCCTAACGTCGCACTTTAGGGGAAATGATCCAATCAGAATTAAACCAAACCCGGTGCGCCGTTCTTTCCCCCGCCCCGCCGTGCTCACTCGAGGAGACACTTCCCTCCGAGCGGAGGCAAACTAGGCAGGGTGGAGCGCTGCCCCTTCGAGTTCCACCCATTTTGCATCAGCCGCTCTTCGGGGCCATCCCACTGCTGCGCGAAACATCCGTTTGTCCCATTGGCTCTGCCTTGGCGAAGATTAAGGGGCAAAGGCCTTCCATTGGATCCCAGAAGGGAAAGGACGTACGGTTGAGTTTTCATAGCTCTTCTGCAATTTGCTGCAAGCATAGCGTGGGTGTTTCCTTTTACTATTAGCGATTGGCCCCGATGTAGGATCAAGAGGGAGGGTTTACCCTGAAACTCCTCTTTGATTGGCCCCACGATTCCATTCGGGTCTAGCAATAGTCGGGCGTTCGGTTTGGCATTCACAGAGGGCGCTTAGCAAGGTTGCGTAAGCGTTAGTGCTGCTGAATTTTGGGGCGGAATGGGGCGTTCGGTTCAGTATTCCCGAAGGGCACTTAGTAGGGCTACGTAAGGCCAGCTAGTTTCTTTTTGGGGTAGCAGCCCAAAGAGAGCAAGAGAACTGTAGCCATCGTAGAAGCAACAGCAGTAAGCAGGGAAGGAGGAACAGCGACGGCCTCACAGCGCATAGCGGACAAAGAAACTCGAAGGAAGAGGCGGCGGAGGCGGGGCCAAACAACAGCCCGCCGCCACCGACGCCGCAGCCGGCCGAACCAGGAGGAGCTGCCGCCTGCAGCAGCGCCATGGATCGTCCCGCCGTCCTCGCGCGCCAGCCGCACTGCAGCGCCTTCTGCCCGAGCCGCCCCTCCAGACGCCACTTGCTCACCGTGTGGGCGCCATGAGGAGAAGTATCCGGCCTGCCTCGTTCCCCCGCTGAGGAGAAAGAACCGAGCGACTGAGGGAGGGAGGAAGGAAGGGAGGGAAGGAAGGAAGGAGGGAGAACGGAGCCCGTTCGTCAGGCCGCCGCCCCGCGCCCTTCCGCCCCCCCCTTGCCTCCTTTCCCCTCCTCACAAGGCCCCACCGATTTCGCAGCCGCTAGTGTCAGATCGTTTTCGCAAGCGGACGCCTTATCCTCGGTCGCGGCGGCGGCGTCATTCTGGTTTCTGTGTTCTTCCGCCGGACGAAATAGTCCGCCTTTTCGCTTCTGTGTCCCTAGTGCCCCCACCCGCAAGGGAAAGGGAGTCTCTGCCTCCGCCTTCTCGTGTGACTGGCTCTCTTGACAAGGGAAGAAAGAAAAGGAGCAGCAGCATCCCCCAAGCCCGCATTTGCTTTTTTCCCTCCCCGTTGCCGCCTCGCATCGGAAAGGGGCAGAGGGTGGGTGACTGGATTGTGCAGCGTTGGGCGGAGGCGGCCGCAGGCCCCGGCGCTGCTGCTGATGGAAAGGAAAAGGATGGTGGCCCTCTTTCGATAAAGCAACGCGAAGGCTGGGGAAAGACTCTGAGGAGCAGGGGCGCCCCCTTGTAAGGTGGGGGGCTGGATCTTTACAGTCTGCCTTTTTTTCCTTTGCTGTGGGCACCTGAGAGGAAGAAACAGCGCAAAGAAAAGGAAACGCGAAGCAGAAGAGGCGATAGTCGATCCGGCACGGGGCGGGGGGAGGGAAAGCAAGAAACCATGTCAGGGCGGCCGAGAACCACCTCCTTTGCAGAAAGCTGCAAACCGGTGCAGCAGCCTTCAGCGTTTGGCAGCATGAAAGTTAGCAGTGAGTATCGATTCCACCTTGTCTCTCCTTCATATCGTTTTCTTGATTAACATCAGGTCCCTATGGATGTCGGTTTATTTATTATTTTTTCCGTTTGGCCCCTTATACTGTCAAGTGTCAGACGGAGAAAGGCTTGTATGAGACAGCTTCCTGCTAGCTCCCCTCCCCCACATACTTGAATAGGCCCACCCTATGGCTTCCATCTATGAGAAAAAGAAGGCTTCATTCTCAGCATTCTGTCTCCAAAGTACACTTCGACCAGTGTTGCCACTTTTGCAACAAGATATGTATAAAGATACTACATTTCTCTCAGACAGAACGATGCATTACACGCCTTCTGCTACATGTGTATGTGACTGTGCTAGCTTTGCACAGAGGGTTCTGCCAGGAATGTCTCTGGAATGATGTATATGTGCTTCTTTTCAAAAAAATTAAGCAGTAATTTAATAATAAGTTATTCTTCCCGGTTCTAATATGAACCTGGAAGAATGTAATAGGAAAAAATTGTATTGTAGTATGCATTGTTTAGGGGCTGCATTATTATTATTATTGCTCATCTAGAATGTGAGGAATGTTCATAGTTCTGTGTTTAGGAATGGAATGCCTTCCAATATGAGGCCTGTGGTTTCATTTGATTCATATGTTATATATGCCTGAAAAATAACGGATTTCCTTATATATACAAATGCATACATATTTTATGGTGAACTGTGAATTTTCAAATTGTATATATGTTGTTCATGGTAGTGGGAAACTTTCTAGTAATATAACTTAGTATCTGTTTATTTCCCAGTAGCCTAAACAACTTGGATAAGATATGATGAATATAATTTGTATCCAAAGACACTTTGGAGTGATTTGCTCTATTACAGAACATAGTTTTATAACAAGAAATTAAACTATTATTTCAATGTTCCTAAAAATCCCCCCAGTCTCCAAAAAGAAATAGGCTTGTATTAAGATTATTGTTGCCTGTTAGAAATGTACAGAACTATTGCTTATTTAGTATCTGAAGCATCTTTCAGTTCAGTGTAAGGATTTGAGAATGTTTAACATCAGGAGGCTTGCAAAATCTGTGACCTCCCAAGGCAAGCACAGCTCACTAACCTGCCAAGTGCATGGCAGTACACCTGTCTTGAAGTAGCATGCAACAAGCACAACATGTTTATCAAGCTGTTCATGGGTCACAAGTTAAAGAGGCCTGAATTACAGGTTCAAGTTTTACACTGTTCTAATGTATCATCTATGTTGTGTTCCACGTTTTCACATGTGATTTGAATGGAAAAGACAGTAAAATGTTGATACTGTTACAAAGTATATTTCAGTTTTGGAAATATGGTATACAATCCCAATTATTCTCATGTAGAGAATATTGAACCTTGAGGAGTTAGAGCACACACTTCAACTCTATCTGTTGCAACAGCATAGTAAGGGTTAGTTTTATAAGTCTGTGAGTGTCCCCTTGGTTGTGGTTTATTGTTGGAAGGAAATGGATTATGACGATAAAATTTAAAGATGCATAGATTTTAGAACTGCTACTAGGCAGGGTGGGGAACTATGGACATATTTGTTTTTTGGCTGGTGTTGTGGTTCTTCATTTGAAATCCTAGCACAATGTGACACCCACAGTGTACCTGCATTCTTGGAAGTAAAACCTGTTTTAATGGGAAGGTGTGCAGCAGGTGTAGGCAACCTGTTACATTCCTTTTGGATACACTTTTGTGGGCATCCATGTCTGTGATGAGCAAGGCCACAGCTAGTGAGGGGGGCAGAGGCAAACATGGGTGGATCACTCCCTCCTTCCCTTTCCAAGCAGAGCTGCCAGGGAATGAACCGATTGCACATGCTGGAGGTCTGAACTGATTGCATACAGACTATGTGTATAGCCTAATTCACATACTGACTTCAAATAATTACTGTCTTAATTTATATGGTTGCAGTACTGTGAAGAACAATTAGGGTAAAAGTATGAATTAGCAGACAAACACGTTCATTTACTTAATGAGGTTAATAGGTCAAGGTGTGCATATGAGGTAACTGAAGAGGAGAATCAAGATGGGAGGGAGATAGTTAACCCTGCCCACCATAATTGGTATCTACCGCTATTCAGATGGTGTAGAATGATTGTGAGGGAGGCTTTGTGGGTGGAAGATCTCTCACCCACACACTAATTCTCTTCCTTCACACCATAAATGCCCTGTTCCTGCTTCATTACTGTTGTTGATGATGGAGGGTTGTCCTTCACTGTCTATTTATTTTAATATGTGGAGTCTAGTAATAGTTCAGGAACTAATATTGTTGTTGATTATTTGATCTATGAGCTATAGTTCCATATAGGTAAGCAGGAAACATATACTCTAAGATGGAATTTGGTCATCCATGTCCATCTAAGATTCACTTCTCCTTTAAAAGAAAGGAGAAGATCTCTTAAGAGAGTGCTTGCCATCTGCAGTTTTTCTATGTATCTGTATCAAAAATATCTGGTGCCCCATTAATGGGTGGTACTGCTTCAATTAAAAATTGAAAATATTGATTGTATGATGAAATTTGGAGCTGTACATGTTATGCTATTTCTAGTAGATGCTGGGGTTCTTTGTGACATTTTAATATAAAATAGCATGAAATTTGCATGGTATCATGAGTCTATACTTTTTTTCCTTCTAAACTTATTTCTCTTGATTAGTAATCCCTATTTAGAGGAATATGAGAAGCACTGATAGATTTGTAATCCCAGTCAAATATAAAGCTTTCAAAATCCATTAGTTAACCAGTTTCTGGGCCAGTTATTAGTAGTTTGTGGTTTTATTTCAGGATGCAGTGACCTTAGAAATTGAACTGAGTAGCACTTCATCAGTTTTGACACCGAGACCACATGACAAATAGACCAGTGGATATCTCTGGGTTCAGGTGAACTTGGATTACACTATCTTTTACTATCTGTCTTTAGATTAAGGGTAGGTAATCTGGCATCTTCCAGATGACTTGCACTACAGTTTCCATAATCCCTGACCATTGGACACAAAGTCCAAAACATCTGGAGAATATCAGATTTAGATCATAGGCAAGCTTCCTGCTTGCTTGTGATGTTCACAGTTTGACAGACTAATTGATGAAATAATTTGGCATTTCTCTTTCTATATCAGTTCTTTTACAAAGCAGTGAAAACTTAAGAAATGATGGGTTAGAGGTTGGAATGGTAGTACTAGAATACACTTTTCTGTTATGTTCTAGTACTGCCATTTGAATATCTATGCCTTTGTTTCTTAGTTAGCTTCTCTGTAGCAACTCTTCTTTCCTTCTCATTTCTAACAGTCCTTACATATTCATATTTTCCTTTCCACTTTAATGATTTACTAAGGAACGGGACATTCCTGATGGCTGGCACAAATTTCTATTTGATTTGTCCTAGTTTGGTTTGGGGTTGATTTGAACCTCAGAAAATGTAAAATGGTAGAGAAAACATTGAATTTCATATGCAAAATCTGATTGCTTTACAAGTTATAATCTGCAGGGACCTAATGTCAATGATTTTAAAAGAATAATTGCAGTGCAAAGTCAGAAATTACCTGCATGAAAACTCCTGGTTCATTTGATTCCTAAAAAACAATATAGAGATCTAGAAATTCAGTTCAGTGTTTGAACTTGGTGATAACCAGCTATCTTTATTAGGCACCAAGTGAATCCAAGCTGTGTATGTATTCTCCTATCTTGAGGTACAAGCCAATTTAAATATACAAATTGCAATCTATAAATAAGGATCCAAAACAAAACTTCCAGAAGATGCAATTTCAATCGTTCATTAAAAACTGAGTTTGATTTTTATATTGCATTCTGAATTTGATAGGGCACCCCAAGGATTTGTCTGAAATACAGATATGTAGGCTGTGTTCACACATAATGACAAGTCAGGCAGGAATGTCTTGTCATAATGTGTGAATCCAAGAAGTGTACTGAAGTGCAACCCTTTTGTTTATTCTGAATTCCCTCAGAGAACCAACAGCCTATTCTAAGGTTTCTGCATTTCCATATTGCTTGTCATTATGTGTGAAGCCTGTTACAATGTCTCTCCAGTTTTCCTATTTCCGACAGCGAGTTCAGAGGCAAGAGCAGCTGCGGCTGCTTCGGCCATCGTTTTCCACTGCCATGTCACCTAGCAATGACTTAATTGACGGCAGAATGAGGGCTGATTGGCTGCCTTCATGCTCCCTGTCTTCCCCCTGGTGTGCATCCTCAGATGGCTGGCTGCACTGCCAAGATGCCATCTTGCCAGCCTTGGCTATATCGCAGTGGCACCTCATGAGAATCCAGTGTGAACGAGGGCTTACACACTCTCCCCATGGTCCCACCTCCCATGCTGTCTGCATGCCATGTGAGAAGCAGGGGCATGGGGACTTCATGGGCCCTTGCAAGACAAGATTGCAGTGTGGCTGCATGAGGACAGCATCTTGGTGAGTCAGCATGGTGGCGGGCAAGGTGGCCTGGTGGCAGGCATTACAGCAGCATGGTGGCCAGGCAGCAGAGGCTATGCTCCGGGACGCAAGACAGGGAGAACCTCCACCAGCAACAACCATAGGGGCATCTGTCCCTACCTTGTGTTGGAGTGGCGAATGGGCAGCGTTCAGGGCATCACCACTATGGCAAGCATCTCCAGGCGCCTGCATCTCCCAAACTGTCTCCTGCCCTCTGCTCTCTGTGTCCCTGACAATCTAGGAGACTCTCCACAAACCTCACCCTCCCATATCCTGCTGGCAAAGTTTTCTGGGCAGATATCCAGATGAATATCCTTAGGAAAGGATGCCTGGCATGTTGTGTTTCCTTCTTTCCTGGTGCAGAGCCTGTGCTATTGCCCTCTATGTGCCAGGCTACTGAGGGGAGGCAGTCCTGGCAGCATATGTGAATCATACATGTGGGGGAGGTGGGCAAATGTACAACCATGGAGGGGGGAAGTGTGTTGGTGTAAAAAGTGGCAACCAGCTGAAAACATGCCCAAGGGGATTGTG